AAGGCAAGCAGAGTTAAAAAGTGTACAGTAGTCTTCCATCTCAGCCAATCGGATATGCCTTTACTCTTCCCTTCCTGCCCTTTGTCAGTCAACATGCATTGAGTAAGGGCTGAGGGTGGAGTACTGTAAGGGGAGATGCATATTTAATTCCCCCTTGCAGTTATCCAAGCCTGTCATTCCAGTTCACAGGTGGAAACCCAATCCCGTCTGGAGCAAGAACTTCTTTAGTGTTAATCCGCTGTTAATGAATTTGTTAAATTAGTGTTTGCTGACACACAGAAGTAGTAAGTGCTTCCTTCTCCATAAGAGGCTTGCTGTTTAATCCGCACATACCCCCAGGGGCACTGGTAGGAAGTGTTCTTCACTGAAGCAAGGAGGATCCTCTTGTGCTGGTTTAGAGGAAGGAGATCTGACAAAAACAAGACTCATTTGCTCCTCGTATTTTAAAGGTACAGAGTCATGTTCTTTACTGCTCAAGTTTGAAAAAAAAAAAGAAACAATGAAACGTTTTAAAGTTGTTCTATTAATAGACTAGACTATATGTTTCATTGTTAATGATAAGCTTTGTGTCAAAGGTTTTTTTAGTGGCGTTTTAAAGAACGTATGCAATGTGGCGTTGAAGAGATGACTCAGTGGATGAAGCACTTGCTGCAAAAGCATGAAGTCCTGAGTTCAGATCCCAGAACCATGTGAAAGTGTGGATCCCTGGTGTAGCGTGAATAATAAAAACCCAGAGACAGATAATGGAGGGCAAAGTGAAGATCAGAGCAGCCAAGCCAGTAGAGTTCTTACCACTACCAAGGTGAAGAACAAAGGGAGTCTATCCTGTCCTCAGAGTGACTGCAGACTGCAGTGCTCTCCACCAATAATCTCAGACTACATGCAGAGCTCCTGTCTTACATTCCTCTCTAGTCCTGGGATTAAAGGCTTGCACCACCACTGCCCAACGTCTATGGCTAGTGTGGCTTCTTGAGTTAAAGGTGTGTGCCACTACTGCCTGACCTCAATGGCTGTGGCTAGCTTTGTATTCTGATCTTCAGGCAAGCTTTATTAGATCATAGACAAAATATCACCACACCCACCCTGGGGCAAGGTAACTACTGAGTTCAGATTCCCAGAACCATCAGATTCCCAGAACCATGTAAAAGGCAGGGTCTCCACGGCTAGCTAGACTAACTGTGACTGGCATACTCACAATTCATCAAGAGATCCTGCCTCAATAAACAGTGGGGAGAGACACCTGATGTCAGCTTTATGCTTCTGTACACACATGCGTATATATATAAGTGTGCATATACCACATATAGGTGCATCAAAACACAGGAGAGCACTCAGGCACAAGCACAAAAAAACAAAACAAAAACAAAAACAAAAACCATGAAATGTTAGTCTTGTGAATTCCAGAGGAATACAAGAGAGAAAATCATGGGTGGGGCCATTCAGAGTGAAGTGAGTGTTGAGACAGACATACCATAATGACCCACCCGTAATCAGGCTCCCTTTTGTTTTTGGTTGGTTTGTTTTGTTTTGTTCTTTTTCCTTTTCTTTCTTCCTTTCTTTCTTCCTTTCTTTCTTTCTTTCTTCCTTCCTTTCTTTCTTTCTTTCTTTCTTTCTTGTTTTTGTAATCTACTGCTCAGTGTGATAAAAACTAAAATGATTACTCAAGGGAGTATAAACTGTGCTTGTTGCAGAAATCAGGTAGGAAAATTTTCAAGGAGCTCACGTGAACTTGACCCTGAGTTCTCCACGAGAATCTCACATCAGCTTCCAGAAGAACGGGATGAACGTCATGAGGCTGCTTCCTATAGCAACTGTTAATACCAGCTAAAGTATCACACCAAACATGGCTCATCAATAATGATTCTCTGAGGATTAGGTCTGGTTCAGTACTGTGACTCACAGACCCCAATTCTTTTGTGTTCTGAGTTGGTCATAACACATACTTAAGAAAATCTAGGAGATGGGTTGTATTTTCCTTACCCAGTTATTAGATGACTGCCAACCCTACCCCCGCCCTCAGAGGAGCCTCCTCAGCTATTTGGGATTAGTAGATGTGCTCCAGGGGCAAAGCTTTCATTTCTATTCCAAGCCCACACCCATATTTGCATTCAGGAAAATACAGAGTCTGAGGTTGAACTGGTATCTTTTGAAAACTGAGTAACCGATAAAATTACTGGCCTCAAGGCCATTGAGCTTGTGATGAGGTGAGGATGTTTCCTAATGAAAAACAGCCTAGCATTGTAAAAAAATATGAATGTGTTTTAATATCCTTACAGAATGTGACAGAAACCCCAAAGTCCTACTGTCCACTGCATTATAGTCACAATAAAGTTCATCCTGCAAGTTTCTTTGACCTACACATCCAGATACCTAGTGGGTGGGAAAACTTAGAGCACTTAGAAAATTTTGTTTAGCTTTTTTTTTTTGCGGGGGGGGGGGGGGGGGTGGTTTTTAATTAGGGGTTTGCTTATCTTTTGGCACTCGCTCTGTAGACCAGGCTGGCCTCGAACTCACAGAGATCTGCCTGCCTCTGCCTCCCAAGTGCTGGTATTAAAGGCGTGTGCCACCAGTGCCCGGATTTGTTCAGTTTTGAGAATGTAACTTCTTGATTGATGTTTGGTAAAGTACTTGCCAAATATATACTGAGAAAAATAAGTGAAAGAGTTTGTGGAGTGAGAGTATTTATAAAGCAGTTACAAGTAGAGGGATAGCTTACTGGATGGAGGTAACATATTTTACAATAGGTGACACACAGCCATTCCTTTTCTTTTAGAAATAATTAGCATATGCCTTCCTTGTTTGTCATTGCAAAGCTCCAGTACCTGAAGCGCTCCCCTGGTTGCCCTGAAATTTTAATAATAGTAAACTACTTACCTCAAACAAAGCAGAGTCACATGTACAAAAAAAGTATCAAATTCTTAATAAGCAGGCTAAGAGACAATAAAACTAGGAAATACTTTCTTATGCTTCACAGGGAAAAAAAGAGTTTAATTTACATCAATGTTTTCTGCTGCCTTACTCCTGCAGAAGTTAGTTCTGAGTGAACGCTAGTGTTTTTGCTAAGAAAATTAGTATGTGGATTTGGATATGCTGGTACCAGACTATTGGTAGTAGGGAGCAATGGCCAAATAGTTTTTTCTTTTTTTGTGTGTGTGTATGTGCATGTGTGTGTGTGTGTGTGTGTGTGTGTGTGTGTGTGTGTGTGTGTGTGTGTGTGTGTGTGTGTGCGTGTGTGTGTGTGTATGTACTCATGTGTTGATATGCAGAAGTCAAAGAAACACACTGGATGTGATCTACCATTCTCTGTTGTATTATGTTGAGACAAGGTCTCTCTCTCTGAGTCAGAACTCACCTTCCCGGCAAGGCCGACCAGCCATAGAGCTCTCAGGTCCTCCCTGTCTCCAGCCCCAAACTTTAGTTAGAGGCTCATGCAGCCATACTCTATGAGACAGCTATTGCAGATTTGTGTTGTCACGGGGTAGAAGCTGCTCTGCGGGATGTTCACTGCCATGGCATCCTGTTACTACTCTGCCTAGAAGTCCAGTGCTGCTAACAGTCGCCTGTGATTGTCCTGTGGTACCGGTTGACAGTAGTGAGACAGAAAGCAGTCTCGGTGGACTAGAGTAATACATGGGGAAGTAGAAGCAAGTGTCAGGCCCTAGCTTTGGCTCAGTCAGTAATTGTATGACGTTTGACATATCTTTCGAATACTGTTTGGCCATGCCACTCCATTTGTTCAACTGAGTTCATAATAATTGCCCTGGTCTGTCTCACAAGAATGTTGTATGAACAAATTAGATAAGTGTAAAAGTGCCTTGGAGGTAAGGCCTTCCATGAATAAAAATTAGTGTGATGTAGCTACTGAAAAGTGTGTTTCAGAGGCTAGTCTGCTTCATCTCTGAAGGCTTCTAACTAGATAAGGCTTTGTAATGGGTTCCTGTTATGTGAATCAAGCACATCTTATCAGTCATGACTATAGTATTTAGGGGGGAAATCTCTATACAAACATTTGCTACCTTGATAAAAATACACATTAAAAACATTAAAATCAGTCTTAACTGCCCATCGTGTATATAGGTCGTACCTATAATCCTAAGTACTTGGTAGGCCGAGGCAGAGAGGTTCATGAATTCGAAACTACCCAGGACTGACTGCCTATTCAGGCCAGCTTAGGCTACAAAGTAAGATCTTGTTCCTCCCTCACCCCCAAGTCTGTCTTATTTAGAGAAAGGGAAGGAGGGATTGGTAAATGTTGGGTATAAAACTTCAATTAGGCAAGATGAATGATGTCTGGGGATTACTGTAGAACATCAGACTATGTTTGGTAGCATTGTCATGCATAGTTAAATACATTTTAGGGATAGATTTCATGTTTAAGGCTCTTAATGCAATAAAATTTAAATTAGTCATATTTGAATGAAATAAAAGCCTCCCATCAAGCCTCAAACAACTGATAGTGTACAGTTCAATTTCTGGTTAATTTAGAAGCTGAACTTGAAACATTTAATAAAGGTGAGAAATAAGCATATGACATCATGAGGGAAGAAAGTCTGAGGCGTCTCAGGAAGTCATTATTCTTAAGGATCTAACCTTGCCAAATTGAGAGTTTGTTTTTTGTTTTGTTTTGTTTTGTTTTGTTTTCAGCTTTGCTTCCTGCCTTAGACATGTGTTGCTCTGGTGCTGCTTCTCCATCACGTTTATCGTTCTCATTTTCAGTCATGATGATGTACACAGGAATGGCCCACTGTCATGCAGTTCAAATGTGCCCTGATCCCAGGCAAATGGGAAGGAGGAGAAGGTGGCCTCTCTAGAAGGATGCCCCAAGTGCTATTATTCCTCTTCCCCCTTTTCCTCACACACAGTCTCTGCAGGGTGACAGTGCTGCCATGCCCAGTCCTGAAGAAGGAAATCAAGCAGACAGTAACCTAGACAAATGTTCTCTCCAGGCCAACACCAGACACTTTCATCTCTGAGTCAAGTTGGTCTCTTTCCTTTGGCAGGGGACCTTTCCTCGTGGCTCTGGGGAAGTCTTGGCACCCAGAAGAATTTAACTGTGCTCACTGCAAAAACACGATGGCTTACATTGGGTTTGTTGAGGAGAAGGGAGCACTGTATTGCGAGTTATGTTATGAGAAGTTCTTTGCTCCTGAATGTGGCCGGTGCCAGAGGAAGATCCTTGGCGTGAGTGTTTGAAACTACTTGTTCTTGTGTAGTGCATCCGAAAGCCATGGAGATTTTGTAATAAATCTTTCCATTATTTTTACTTTGTATTTTCTTCTTGCTTTATCAACCCTTGCTGCTTTCATTAGTTGTGTTTATTATAAAAGAAAACGAAGCAGACCTCTGAGGAGGTATATCAGACCCATGGGGTTAGCTGCCTTTGGCTTTGTCTGGTGAAAGTCTAGCCACTATGGGAAAAATGATTTACTGTGGGTGTGCTACCTTAGCAGGACCCTGTTTGCTCAGGAATGAAGAGGTCGTCCAGGACCACACACACAAACTCTCAGGACTGACACCTTTGCTGGTTTAAATTAAATTCCATAGCTTTTATAAGAGCAACCTTTCCCTACTTGTCAGAGTTCAAGCACAGGACACTGATCTCATGAAATATACCAAATTTGTAAAATGTGAAGCTTATAGTATTTTTATTTGAATGAATGTAATGTTTAAAACTGTGACTTCAGTTATGGACGTGTACATGTGATAGGAAAAACATTTCAAGCTATACTTTTTTGGCAAAAAAAAAAAAAGAATACATGGCCATCATGTTATAACACCCAATTTTCAATGACATTGAAGATTCAGGTGACTACTTGTAGGTGACTAGTAGTGGAGGAAAACTTGATTTTAGAAGAAACCAGTGTTCTTGGCTTTAACATGTACAAATTGGAATGGTTTTGCTTGATTCTACCTGAATTCTCAATCCGAAAATACAATAATGAAATTCTAGAAAAAAAAATGTGAATTGTGGAGAACATGCTTAAGTAGGTGTGAAACATTCAAAATAGTTTCAATTATAAATATGCTACCTAACCAACCAATCTCTATGTTATTAATTTGTACATTGCATTGGCAATAAAGGAGTATAATGGCTAGCTTGTCCATAAGTGCTGACAGATAATCAGTTAGTAGGCTATATGTCAAGGTAACATTTAGTGAATAAGCATTCTGTGAATTAATTAATAAAAGTCAAGAATGGCAAAAGTTATAAGATTCTAGGAAGTGAAAGAAAGAATTCCCATATTATTAAATATTCTCCAGAAATTATTTTTTAGTTGCTTTACCTCTTCTTAATCGAATCCTTAGAACAATTCTTGAAAAACTAACAACCCCAAACTTCTTACTGATTAAATCTCTTCCAAGTCTTGCATCTTGGAATATTTAACAGGAAGCCATTGTGGACTAGGATCCTAGCTTTTATGGTTCACACTTCACTCAGTGGAGTAAGTGCATAGTACAGTCACAGCTGATTCCCAAAAGCTAAACACTCAATGAGCTGATTGGATTATACTGATTACATTATTGCTTCCATAATGCACTGGAGTTTAGGTTTGTTTTAGTTTTTAAATGCTTTCCCCTCCTTCATGACATTTTCAAGATAATGCCATGAAAGTTTTTTAGGTTAATGCATCCTGACGCCCTTTGAAAGAAAGCAGAATGTGTTGTAGCAAACCTTTCTGTAATTCTTCCCTTATGCACTGCATGTATAGAGTTAGTAATAGCTAATATTCTTTGTTTATGGATTTGTATTTATGAAAAGCACACTTATTACAAAAGCTTTCAATGACGTGAGAATCTTCCACTAAGCATCTCTTGTTTCTTTGATGAAAACTTCAAGACAAAGATGAAATACGTACATCTACATTGAGTTAGTGTGGTTCAACAATGAGAGCAGGTATTGATGTGTTTATTGTCATCTTTCACTCCATCCACCTTTCTATAACAGGAAGTCATCAATGCTTTGAAGCAAACCTGGCACGTGTCCTGTTTCGTGTGTGTGGCCTGTGGAAAGCCCATCCGCAACAATGTTTTTCACTTGGAAGATGGAGAGCCATACTGCGAGACTGGTGAGATAATAAGCCATTAGTGCCTTTGCTAAGAATGAAGCTAAAACGCTTACGTTTCTGTACAATTGAAAGAAAAGTTTAGGTCAACAAGGTTTCCTTCTTTTAGAGGCATTACATATTACTCTGAATATATAGCAAAACAAAAATAATAGTGACTGTTCATGACTTTCAAAATGAACATTTCCAACTTCATTATGAGCATCAAGGTTAGCATTACTTAGTAGGAAAAACATGTTCAAATCTCCAATCATTTAAAGATATAAATTCTACTCATAATGTACCGTAAAACCACTATTGCTGTAAAGAATACCAAATGGTTATAAACATGAGAAATGTTCAACATTCGAATGTTACCGCTTTGCTTTTTAAAGCTACAACCTTGAAAGTAAACGTGAAATCCTTTGCTGCCATTACTGAATAGAAAAGCTATCCTGGCTCAGATTGCTCCCTGGTGAAGATGTTTTTAATAATTTAGGGTCCAAGAGCCTGCCACTCCCTTTGCTTTGTCACCTGAACACCCAGCACTTCCTTTTCTTTTGCCACATCTGCAAGTGAGCTTTCTTACCATTTACTCCTTATTCAGATATTGCTTCCACAATGGCTATTTCAAAATATGAAACATGCTTTGCTTTATTTTGCCTCTATTAACTACCATTAACTGAATTCCCACTATTCAGTTTTACTCTTATTTTAGATTAAAATTCAAAGTGTGGTCCTAGAAGAAGGGATTTTTGCCCAGTGGTAAAGTTCAAGAGACCATCAGCTTTTGTCTGAAGCCATTTCAGCATCACTTACCTCTTTGCTCACTTCCCCTTAACCCCTTAGTTAGGAAGGGTTTGGCTCTATTCCAGATTGCTCACCAGGAAGCCCCAGAACCTCCAATAAAATGCCCCATGTGTTGTTAGCAGTTTAAGTTGGCTGTAAACTTCCTACCATCTTCAGAGTATCTCATGTTCTGCAGCTTATTTTTTCTGGTTTTTGTTTAGTTGACTGGCTGGTTTGAGAGTTTTAGAAACTTTGTAAGACATTCTGACTAACTATGCAAAAACATAAACATCTGTCTAACCTGAGAAGTGTAATGTGTTCTAAGAAATCATGATATACAAGTAATGTATTGCTAGCAGAGGGGAATCGCGGTCTAATTTTTACTCTTTTTCTTTAACCTTCAGCCAGTTCTTAGCAATGTTCCCATCTCTGTAGATTAGATGGCTGCACTGTCTACTGTCCAAACACCTAGGATTTCTTTCTCTGTTCTTCTGAAACAGAATCTTAACAAGTGATTCCTAGCAACTCTGCTGCCAGTGGATATTGGATAAGCATCTCTGCCTTTATGCCCAGCTTACTCTTACTCTTCTCCTGGATTTCCCAATAGCAGCTGCAGAGAAATTGATGCAGTGTCAACCATGGCAGTCAGATTATGCTCGTATTCCATAAATGGCGTCCACTAGAATAAGAACCATTGTCCTTGCCAAAACCCACCTTGCCAGATTTATCTCCTGCTTCTTTACATTCTGACACTGGATTTAGCCCATATCTTATCCCTTTATTTTTCTGGACATGGCTAAGATTTTATTTCTAGCTCCAGGGCCTTCATACATAAAAGTTTCATCTAACTAGAATGCTTTCAGTGTGATTCATCATGACTGTCACATACCAGAGAAGGGTTTCCTAACCCTCCTATAATGTAGTGTGTGCCTAGTTATTCTGTATCATAGCACTGGTTTTTGCTACATTGTACTTATCACAGTCTTAACTGGAACCCCATGAGACAAGCATCCACACCTGTCCTTTTTGCCTCCCCACCTCAGTGCTGCCTGGAGCACTGCCTGCTAGAGTCTGTGGAGCTGTATTTAGCAGTGGTGCTAAAGAATCTCTGCACCAGGCTGCATATTATAGAATCCCTCCCCTCCAACTATGGCTGGATTGACATTATTAAAGGCCAAAAGTTGGCTCACAGGTCAACACAGCAGCAGTGGAGTTGAATAAAAGAAAATGGAAACGTGCTGGCATTCTTTTTTAATAGTAGAGAAAGGACAAGGCCACTCTCATCAAAAGGGAATTTGTTAGTATTTTAGAGCTAACCTTCAAGTTACTCATGTTGTCTGAGTAAAGATTTCCAGTATGAAGTCATGAAATTAGAAGGAAAATATAACAAAAGAAATTGAGGCTGGTTTATTGGCATAATCCATCTAGGAACTCGGTCACAGTACTTATTTGTGAAAGTGTCCTGAAACCTGTATTCAAAGTTTGTTCTCAGATTATACTAACTAGGCTCATTGTTGCAAATTATTGAGAGTCCTCTTACTGTACCTGGACACATCCAAGTGTACTACTGAACACTACACACAACATGATCTCCTGTTCATGCATCTGGGCATTTAAACAGAGCCATGGAACACAGGAAATATAATAAAAAATATTAAGTGTCACAATAATGCTTTCTGTGCTGAACATACATCCCAAGGTAGGCAGTGGTTCCTCTGTAGCGATTGTCCTGCCTCCCATCCAGTCCAGTGAGGAATCCCAGCCAAGCTGCCCCACCCCAGTGGATGTTGTAGTCCTTGTTTCCACTTCAGTCTTAACCTCTGTGTCTCGTTTAACTCCCATCTTACCGCTGTTTCCTGTGACCTGCCATTCCAAAGCCTCGCCATGTTTAAACTGTATCTCCCTCCTAACCTGATGCAGATTATTATGCTCTTTTTGGAACAATATGCCGTGGATGCGAGTTCCCCATAGAAGCTGGCGACATGTTCCTTGAAGCTCTGGGCTATACCTGGCATGATACTTGCTTTGTATGCTCGGTAAGTAAACTGTACTGTCCTGGTCAATGCTTAGTGCTTGATGCAAGTAATGGCACTTCGGGCTTTCAAAACCAATGAACACTGTTTTTCAGTCTTCTTAAAAGTTAGATTTGACATCATTTGGCATAAAATAAGGTCTTACCCCAGAGAAAACATAACTTTTAATGCATTCTTAACTCCAAGGAGATTTTTGCCTGTTTTAAATGTGAGTTTTTAAATTCCTTTATTAACCAGTTTATTTTTGACACATTGGCTATTTCTTAAATAAAAAACAAATTATAAAATACTGGAGAGCCAGAAAAATGGCTCAGTTTTCTTCCTGACTGAGACATAGCTCATGAATTTTCTTTTCCTTTTGAAACTATAATGAGCATGCAAAAGAATTTTACCTGTTGAACTTGCTACTTTTTTGTTTGTTTGTTTGTTTGGTTGGTTTTTTTTTTTTTTTTTCCATCTTTCGAGACAGGGTTTCTTTGTGGCTTTGGAGGCTGTCTCTTGTAGACCAGGCTGGTCCCAAACTCGAACTCACAGAGATCCACCTGCCTCTGCCTCCTGAGTGCTGAACTTGCTACTTTAATGCTCTTGGTTTTGATTTTATTTATTTTTGGTGTCTACACATGTGTTTCTTTGTATTTGTATGTTTATGTGCTTGTGGGGACTGAAGGACAACCTCAAGTGTCACCCTCAGAACACTGGCCCCCTCCTTTGAGACAGGGTTTCTCATGGGCCTGGAACCCACCATTTGGGCCAGATGGACTGGTCAGAGAGCCCTCTTGTCCTCACCTTCCTAGCCCTGGGTTGACAAGCATGCATGTACCATGACACCCAGCATTTGTACATGGTTGCTGGGGATCAAACTCAAGTGCTTCATTGGCTGAGCTACCCCGGCAGCTCCTTGTGGAGACTTGGTCTCACTGTGTAGCTCTGGCTGATCTGGAACTTGCAATGTAGATGATGAGGTCAACCTTGAACTGATAGAGGTCCGCCTGCCTCTGCCTCCTGAGTTCTGGGACTAAAGTTGTGCATCACTGTACCTGGCCTTCTGTTTTTTACTTTTAGTGATTAAGATAAGTCAAAAGATTAACATTAACCTAAGATGATTTTTATAATTTAGAAAGCTAATACTCAGTAAAGATGCTCCATTCCAGTACTTGATCTTTGTTACTGCTGTTAGATTTAATATATCTACAGCATTTGATACCCATTGTATAAGAAAATAAATAACAGTAAAATCTAATGATTTCTGCAAAGCAAATAGCACTTCTTGTTTTCACTTCATCTGTTAGACTTCATAAAGTTTATAAAAAGCAGCTTTTAAATTTTAACTTCTCAGGAAAACCTTCCCACGAGCATTGTCATTTGCAAAACAGCACAAACAGCATGAAGGCAAAAGTGTGGGTGGCCTCACCACAAAACCACTCAGCAGGCCGAGGCTGCCCAAGATGTTCACTGTAGAATCAAGTTAAATCAGTTCTTTCAGGAATGAATGGTTTTATCCAGGAAGTGAATCAGAATCAGACTATTGGGACTGGAGAGATGGCTCAGTGATTAAGAATACTTTCTGCTCTTGCAGAGGGCCCGAGTTTGGTTCCCAGGGTTCTCAGTGCATTTGGCCTCCCAAGGCACCTGCCCTCACATGCACATACCATACTCAGACTCATACACTTAAAAAATATAAATTAAAAAAATAATAATCTATGGCCAGCATACAATAGGACAGATTGACATTGGGTTTGGTCATGCTTGGCAAAGCAGTTGAGCTATTTCTTTTTGATGCTTTAATTGTGTGTAAAAGTAAACATTCAAAAGATTGATTAGAATTTGTATTTGATGTATTAAAGTCTTTGTTAGGACTGAGTGCTTCCCTCTAGGTAAAGAAAAGCCATCATCAGTGATTTAAATAAATCATACTATGTTACACACAAATAAAAGGTCATTGCTTTTCCAAGAAGTCATGAAATGCCATAGGAATCATGAAGTGTCAGGGAGTCTCACTCAGCGGTGGTCTTACTCGTTCACGAGTAAGGAGAGTCACTCCCCTTTGGGAGATCTGATTTAAATGGTGACACTCTTATAAGCAGTGCTTCTCTTTTGCAGGTGTGTTGTGAAAGTTTGGAAGGGCAGACGTTTTTCTCCAAGAAGGACAAGCCGCTTTGCAAAAAGCATGCTCACTCTGTGAATTTCTGAAAAGTCAACAGTTCCAGGAAATGGGAGAAATTTGAAGAAAAGGGGGGAAACTAAAATTACCGTTTAATTTTTAGTTTTAATATTTATATGGAGTTCTAAAATAATAGTAGCCCTGGATGGATAAACTCTAACATTAAAACCAAGTCTGTGAGAAAGTGTTTGCCTTCAGAAAGTCACAGATGGTTTGGGATTTATTATGACTAGCCTGTGTTTTCTGCCCATGAAGTAGCCTTTATAAGAATCAATTTCCTGACTACTAAATTCATCTTAGAATAAATTAGCAAAGAATTACATTTTAGAATTAAAAACTCTAGCGTCTATGCTGAAGTGATTATTTCTTTCCTTGTTGGGTAGCTTTGAGAATCCACAGAAGGCAATACAAGTGCCTTAAACTTTACAAATAAGAATAATTGTTTAATAAGCCCACTTTATCTTTAAAATAGTAAGTAGGAGTTTAAATAAATTTCATGAATAGGTGGTATCTTTTTCTTTGGTCTTATCATTGGTCCTTTTAGTAAGACCGTCCAAGGAAATTTTTGATCAAAGTGTGTCATGTCCTAAGAGATGCTGTGATTTCTTAAGTTCTTCCAAAGGCTGTCGTGTTGCTTGAAGGTCACAAATGCTGACCTCCCTTCAGATGGGGCACTTTGTTTGCATTGGGTGTGGCTCACCACCTGGGCCAGGCTGCCCTGCTTCTCATCTCTTATGCTGAGCTGAAGACAATTCAATAGTGTTAGATACTAATAGTCTTCCCTGCCCCCGCCCCAGAGAGCAGGTAGAGGACAAAGGAGCTAGAAATTGGGGAAATAAAGCAATTGTACCTGGAAAGTAAAAAGAACAACTTCCCCTTTCAAATAATAAACTGCTTAGTTTTTACAGTTGTGTCACTGACTGAAGATTCAAAAATTTCCTTGCCCAGTAATTTTTTTGGATTGAGGATTATGATAAGATCCAAGTTTGTGTTGTTACTGTGTTTTTTGCTTATTTGGAGTTATTCTGGGGTTTTGTTTGCTGGTTTTTGTCTGGTATCCTTTTCTATCAGTAAGAAGTAAATCCCCTCCAATTGTGTGATCATCTGGCCTTTGGTAATACAGGGGCAACCAGAATCCATTACTTACATTGTCCTGTCATTTGTTCTCCACCGTTGGGCAGAGCATTGTTTAGGTACCGCTTGTAGTCAGGAAAGTGACTGTGAGAAAGCCATGCAGTGTGGATCACTGCCCAGTGAGAAAACAAATCGTGGCATTTAATACTTTTCTCTTTGTTTCTACAATGAATGAAAGCCCATGATCCTTCTGAGTTGTAGCTAAATCTGTTGGGAGCATGGTGCTTTCAAAATTCAAAGTGCCCCAGTTCTTGCTGCCCCATCTTTCAAGAGCACCTGTGCGTGCGTGCGTGCGTGCGTGCGTGCGTGCGTGCGTGTATGTGTGTGTGTGTGTGCGCGAGTGTGCGCGTGCACACGCGCACTACACAGGAAGTCTTAGGCTACAGTATTTGTTTAACCTTCCTAAGAACTTTCAAGATAATTGAAAGCTGCTAATTTATGCTCTAGTAAATTTATGTGATATGCAGATAATCTCGAACTGAGGGTTGAATGAACAGGAAGGTTGACACACATCACAAACCAGAAGCCTCTCCAGTAGCAGCCCAGACTGCCTCCTCACCTGTGCTTTTCGGGAGGCAGGGAGTGTCTTCAGAATCAGTGCTGGGACTTCATGCATTAGATGTCATTGCTGCTTCAGTGACCAATGGCAGACTCACTGGCTTGGGTGCATTCCTTCTGATCTAAATATCCAGTTTTGACTATACTACAAAATAAGTTGGTGACTTTTTTATGTAAAAGTTTTGGTTTGTCTTTTAGATGATATGCCATGATAATATTTGACAACTCATTGGTATTTGCATATTCAAAGAATTTTCTTTGACTTGGATTTCTTACGAAGTTATCTTTCTTTAAGGATCTCATTTTTATTGAACCTTTATTTCTCTGTTATTTGTGGAATACAATGCTGCATTTTATAATGTTGTATTTCTCTAAATTTAATTCCTAACAGGCTGGTGTGGCTTGCTAATTTGGCATTGTGTCTTTATTCTTGGCCTATCATGTTGTACGGCAAGTTTTGTATCTGTTCCTAACACAGTAGCTCCTGGGAGATGAGTTCTCACCGTAATCAGAAGCGTGTCTGCAGTGAAGCCCAGCTTGCCTCGTTACCAGCATGGAGCTCTTAGTACCTGGCACAGCACTTTACTCTTCTGGCAAGCTCCCTGCATATTTATTATAAGTCTTCTGTGTCAGTAGCATTTTTCTCATTATTACTGTAGAACATTTTTTCTCATGCTAGATGTTTATTTTGAAGACTGTACTTGATAAGCCTCATATGAAAACAATAGTATATGATTGTGCCTTATTCAATTTCTCATTTTTAAGACTTTGGTGGGTCCATATGGATAACCATTTCTGTAATTGTTCTGGATGACTGTTGCCTGTTGAGGTAGCAGTCTTTGCTTAGCGACTTCATGTTTCCCATTGGTAGGGTTACTGTCACCATGTAAAGCTAAAGCCTAATTATTTGGCCACAGTATTAAAATAAAAGTAAGCGTTTATCTTTCAAATATCGATATAAAACTGTGTTCAAAATTATCTGCACCAAAGTCTACTCCTTTCAAGGAGCCCTAGGCTACAAGCGCTTCTGTAGAAAAGTGATTGCCGCAGTGTGAGTCCAGTGTTACATCAATATTTTTTGGCATTTGCAGTTCAGCCATCTCCTTTGGAGCAGGGGAAGACAGAATAGTTTTACACAAATGGATGCTCATTTCAGTCTGTCCCTCACCTCCAAACGTCTAAGTTATTGGATCTAGACACTTAATATGTAATTTGCCATGCCTTTCAATTATTGTCTTTTGTTTCTTTGCATTTTTAAGTTTCTGTGTAGCTTCTCTTTTGCTTTTGGATATGTTTTCTAATTAAAAAATTCACACAAGAAATATAATCTGTATAGTGATACCTAATGAACTCAATAAACAACTGCAATGATGTCCACACACGCCTGGTTTTTCTCTCTGGCTGGTATGTGGTTTCACTTAAGTGAACATGGGGAGATGTCACGTTCCATCCTCTTAGGACCAGAGGTGTGTTAACCTCTCAAGAGCCTCTGCCACTGTTTTGACCAACCCCAATGCCCCGAAACAGGATATTTGAAAATACTCCATTTACTCTATTAGTTACCTTTTGTGCTTTGCATATATAATGTATGTAAGACATGTTTGTAAGTTAGTAGATAAGCTGTCTTTTAAATATGTTTATTGCTGAAATTAATCATTGGAATACTTAGTATCAAGCCTTGTTATGTCACAGATCATAAGCAGAGAACAAATTCCCTGCTCGTTTCATTTGGCATGAGCCAGGATATGAACAGCTCAGTTCAGTCTCATTAGCTGACTGGTCATTAAGAGGTAGACTCACTCACATCTTGCTCGTTTGTTTATCAGCTTGGGGGAGAATTTTTTCTAACTGTATAAATTAAGAGGGATGTCTGTGTCTCGGGCTGTACTTTGGGAATGGGAGAGAAACTCAAGTCTATTTTGCCCACAGTATATTAAACTCCAGAAGCCAAACTTTTAAGGGCATCGAGTCTGCATCTGACATTTTAATAGCTGCTGTTTGGTTTCTGTCAATCACGTCATTGCACATTAAAATACACCGACAGAATAAGAGATCTGTCATTCCTTCGTTAAGAAACAGTAATCCAGTACAAGATTTATAGGCTTACGTCTCAACTATGTGTTCACAATAAACCCCCCTTGAGTGCTGAAACCAGAGCAAGCTCCCTGCCAGTCAGTGTTTTCGACTAACATGTCCCCAATAGAAGATTATCAAAGGTTTTCTAACTCAACTACATATAAAAAATCCTTTGGCCAGCAAAAGCTTAATTTAGGTTGGCAGTTTCCCTTTCTGAGTACTCTCAGACAAGATCTTGGTTATATCAGAAACACATAGGCACTGATGTATTATTAGCAGGCCTGGTGTTAATTAGGGAGAATTACCAGAAATAGTTTGCCTTGTGGAAATTTATTACAGAATCACACTTGACTGATGGCAGAATAGGAGTTGCTGAGAGAGAGCAGCTCCCACTCATAACCACTAATTAATAGGGTGCCAAAATTCCGCAGAGAAGGTTTCATCCCAAGTGTGGGAGCCTCACAGGGAAAATGGTTCCTGTGCAGTACTTAAAATTTAACAGAGGAAAGGAACCGGACACATGGCTACCTAACAGAATAGCAGGCTGTGGGGGCATGGGCTATGTGAATGAGAGGGCTTAACTCCGTAAGTGCCGAGCTCCAGAGTGGCCTGCGAATATAAAAGGGTTATACATTGTGTTTTGTTTCCTGACCAGATCTCACAATGTAGCCCAGGCTGACTTGAAACTTGAAATCCTCCTTCTCCTCCCTTAGTCTCCTGAGTCCTGGGATGCCATAATGCTAACCTCATGCATATTGTTAGTTTTTAATATGGCAAGTGTCTGCTTCCTAAGTTTGTTTTATGAAGAGAACTTGGTGCTCACAATGTTGTGTGTGGTATGTCATCGAATTCCTATTCTTGATTCTATAATTTCCAGGCTGTCTATATAGGTGGCGGGATCACACAGCGCTTAATAAGAAAGGCGTGGCTCCTACCCTTGCGTATGGAGAAGGAGGACAAGGTGCATCTAATGATTGGCACTAATGGAGGAGCGCTGGGGGAGCCCTCCTAAATTACAGCTTGCCAAGAAATCAATTTTTTTCCTGTCTGTAACTGCATGTAATTACACACAATAAAGCTTGGAGCCATTATTTAGTGTAGAATAAAACATTTCCATGTCAGAAAACCACTGATCACTGATCACTGACCTCAGGGAGAAAAATAAAATGATTTACAATTCACAGAGAGGCTAACTCTTCAATTTCTCAGTTATGGTAAATGCAGTTCCCAAGGAAAACAACTTCTGTGCCAACCCCAGATATGATTGACAGAATCCTTGGCGTTCATGTTTCAAAAGACAGTTTCTGTCTCTGTGTCCAAAGTGTTCTAATTAGTTTCCAACTTAGTTTTTCAATTTCATATTCTAAACTCATATTTCTCCTAATTCAAATATAACTTATTTTTTCTTCTCTTCGCCTCCCCCCATCTTTTTGTCTTTGCTTGTTCCCCCCACACAGCTGGTGCCCCTGTAATTGACTGAAAAGTCTCCTTGTTTCCAGTATTGAGATCATCATTGATACCTTTCAGTGCCCCTTGTGCTTCTGACACTAGCGTATCACTAATAACCTCACTTTTCTCTAGAGCAGTGGCCCTCCAGTGACATCATAGCTCATTGGTTTTGGCATAAATAAAAGTTTCCTTTTGTGAAACCCTATGTTGACATCATTCTGACTCGGACGCTTTGTCCATGTTTGCTTGAGAGCGCTCTCAATCTGCATCCTGTATGAAGTAGAGAGCTGAAAGCATCCAGCTTCCTTAACTATGAACTTGGCTGTGTTAAATTGATTCTGTTTTAGCACTTGATGCTTGTCATTGATTCTTCTCTGTTAAATGATTATTCTACTCCAGAAAGGTTTTGTTTTGTTGTTTTGTTTTTGTACCATTTTGAGGTTTTTTTTTGTTTTTTTGTTTTTTTTTAATGAATTTAACTAGCAGGTTGGGAGGTACTTCGTTCTTGAGAAGGGATTCTAACTCATGCTCATCTGTCTTGGCCTGCTTATTCCTGATCTTGCAAACTTTGATGCCTTTTAACAAAGCCAACACCGTTTATAATAATATAAGTTAAAGCCAGAGGCAGTGTGTGTTTGCTTCTCTCTGTTGCATTAGTCTGGGTCCAATCAGAACAGGAACCACATAGTAATTTAATAGAAGTTAAGGAATTTGGTTTAATGAATGATTAAACAGATACAAGAGAGCAACGTAATGTTGCAAATATACAGACAAGTCTAAAGGATAACAAAGGGCTGGAGAGAGAGCTCAGTAAGTACTTGGCACAAAAAGGAAAACCCAAGTTCAGCCCCCAGCACCATGTAGAAAAGTGTAGTGCAGGTACAAAACTGTAACTCAACACTGAGGAGAAAGATGTATTTCTGAGGCATTCTGGCCAGCCAGCTTGGCCTAATCTACAATGGGAGAACCTGTCTCAAATCATGTACCCAGGAATGTAAAATATATATGCAATAATAAATAAATAAAACAGTAGGGGGCAGCTTGAGGAGGCCTGTCCCTATGGTGAGGGCTCACACCTTGTGGGAGACAGTGGTTTCAGTTCACCAAACGACAGATGTTCTTTGTGTTGCTGAAGCCAGAGCTCAGCCTCAATTCTAAGCACCAAGAGGGGTGGATGCACAAGGGGCTGGGGTAGAGAGTAGGATGGCAAGAGGCCACTGCAGGTTGTGATGGAGCCCAAGCCAGGGATGTGATGTTGAAAGGTGTGCACTCAGGATTCAAGGTTGGGCATCATACCATCGCATAATCACCACACATGCAGCGCATTGGACCACGTAGAAAAGCAAAATGCAGCACCCCAACCAGAAGAGTTGCTCCTTGCTGCTGCAACATGCATCTTAGGACAGTAAAGCTTAACACCATGACTACAAGAAAGGAGAACTGCTTTGAGTCCAGTCCAGTGTATTAGAGCAAACACCGAAAGGGAAATTTGGAGCTGGGAAGTCAATAAAGTTACTGACATTGGATTCAAAGGAAAACAAAATTGTCCATTAAACTGACTTCCATAATTATACAGAACGTTGTGCATATTGATGAATGGCAAAGCCAAACAAGCTGAGGCCGGAGCTCAGTAGTTAAACAACCTAGCACACCAAAGGCCTGGGCTTAACATCGCAGAAACACAGTTGAACAAGAAATTCTAGCCTGGTGTAGGAGTTCACACGTGGAATCCTGGCACTCAGGGGACTGAGGAAGGAGAATTGCCATGATTTTAAGGACAGCCTATACATAGTGTAACCTTATTCTAGGCCAACCAGGGCTGCCATGGAGTAAGACCTTATTTAAAAGAAATAATAATAGTAATAAAAGAGGGACGGAGATGTGGCTTAATTCCCAGAATACTTGTCTAGCCTAGAATTTCACAAAGCCCCAGATTCAAGTTCCAGCACAGTGGTCCATGCCGATAACCCCCAGCACTGGAGAGGTAGAATCAGGGGCTCAAGGGCTGAAGGTGTCTTTTGTCTTACACAGACCACCCTGGGTTACGTGAGAAAAATGAAGGGGAGGGGAGGGAAGAGATGGGGAGAAGGAAAGGGAAAAGTAAACAGCAAAACCTACCTCGTTCTTTATTGCCAAAAATCCTTTGATAGTGTACCTTCAATGTAAAGTTATTTCCACATTGCACTAAAATGTTTTTCAGTCTGTCCTTCAAATGGCAGTTCTCATTATTTAAGAAACTAGTTATGTGTGTACTCGGACATGACCAAAGAAGGTTTTGCATGCATTCATACTCTATCATAATGCTTTTCATATATGGAAAGGGTTGGAACATTTGTTACTCATTGGTGACTTCAGTGTACTGGAGTTCTTTGGTGTGAACCTCAATTGGTATTACATATGCACATTAATCACTTTCATAGCCCTGTCCCAGAAAGAACATCAAGGGCTCCCCTCTGCAGTAAAGGATGAGAGGGTAGATGAAGTCTTGTCTAATCAGGAGTTGGATTTGTTGTAAACACATTGTAGTTTGTGTGGTGTCCTATCTGTTACCTGAGGAAACACTAGTGGCTCAAAGCACTCACTACCTGTAATGAAGTTTTACTTTTTTTACCAGTCAGTTCCATCCTCGTATCAATATGATGGTGAATCAATAGAATATAACCGAAATACAATGTCTCTGAAGACCAGTTTAAGTTATTGTCACAAACAATGATAGTCATGTATTTTTAATCCATATTAGAAATTAGGAAATGAAATAGCTCTGAGAAGTTCTTTTCTAAAAGTACACACCTACAACCTGGAAAACTTGAAAGTCGATTTTTTTACTAGACTAGGGAGAAAATACATTTAGTTT